ATGCGCTTACCTACATGCAGGCAATACAGGGATACACATAAAATAAAAATAATAAATAAATTTTTTTTTAAGAAAACTGCACAAGAAACAGAATTTTTAAAAAATTTTTAGGAATCCCCAGCTCTCCATCCTTTCTTAGCCCCTGTCCTCCAATAGAATAAATTGTTACTACCTCTGATGATCCCACTTTTATGGCCTGCATGCCACTGGGCTGAAGTTCTTTTTCTCTAAACCCTGTTTGTTTTGCAGCAAATGGCCAACCTAGAATGTAATTGCAAATATTCAGTTGTACAGGAGAAGCTATGACTCAGCTACACTCAGAAGACCTTGTTTCAAGTGAACACTTAAACACAACTCAAGTCTGATAAGCATCTGGAATCTACATTTTCGAGGGCAAGCTGCCTGGCTTGAGAACCTGCAATCATGTCATAACCCCTCCCTAGTCCTCACTACATGGAACCAGGTGACAGTGGTCAGATATGATCACCATGAGCCCCTTTTCTAGAACCATCCCCAGGCCCAAGACGTGATCAACCAGGTCAGGAGTTTGAAGCTCTAGGATCAGAGCTGAGTGCAGGCCATGTGGGGCTGAGATGCTGTGGACAATCCCAGTGGCCCACATGTGGGGACTCAGTATTTCCTGGTTGCCGGCTGAGTATGGTGAGGATCATGGGGGCAAGGCTGGGTACTTAGTAGCCTTTGTTGAGCAAAGCTCTGAGGCACCCTGGAATTGAATGTGCAATTGGGTAAGACAGTTCTGTGACTGAGAGGAGGCAGGAATTGCTAAGGGAACCTAAATTGGCAGAGCTGGGGTAAGAGTAGTCTGTGGTTAGAAGGTGGGTGATCCAAAAAGCCCTAGAGGAGAGAGGTGAGAAGGGCAGGAAAGGTTATCAGTGAGCATAGTGGATGCTTAAAGATACATAGGTAGTGTAATGCAGGCTCTAAGGAGGAGGCTGCTTATGTGGTGGAGAGGTTGATGTGGATGGAGAGGGGGGATCTAGCTGGAAGGCAATGAAGGATCTTGAGGCAGAGGCATGGCAGAGCCTATGGGGCATATAAGGATTGGCTTTTTACAAAGAATTACATTCATTCATGTGTGTGTGTGTATGTGTGTGTGTGTGTGTGTGTGTGTGTGTGTGGGCACCAGTGTAGAGGTCAGAGGACAACTTGCAGGAGTTCATTCTGTCCTTCAATCATGTAGATCCTGGGGATTCCAACTCAGGTCATCAAGATTTGTGGCAAGTGCTTTTACAGGTTGAAGCATCTCACTGGACCCCAAGGACTGGCTTTTTTCTAAGGGAAGCAGGGGCCATGGGAGGTTTCAGAGCAGAGGAGCACCCTGGTCTGATCTCCACTGGTTATTTAGTATACCTCTGTGTGTGTGTGTATGTGTGTGTGTATGTGTGTGTGTGATCATACATGCATGTACAGAGGCCAGAGATATGGTGTCTTCCACAATCACTTTCAACCTAATTTTTTTGACAGGGTCTTTCACTGACCCTGGAGCTCACTGTTTTGGCTAGACTTCTGGCCAGTGGGCCCCGGGAATCCTCCTGTCTCATTCTCCTCACTCCATCCAGTGCTGGAGTTACCAGCATGTACTATGTTTGGCTTTTATGTGTGTTCTGGAATCTGAACTCCAGTCCTCATGACTGTGTCACAGGCACTTTACCAATTGAGCCATCTCCCTGCCCCAACCCATTCCTTTTTTTTTGAAAAGTTTATTATGTTGTAGGACAGCTTAAGTACTAAACCAAATCAAAGTGGAGATCTGAAATCACAAAACCACAAGCCCTCTCTGCTCTCTGCCTCTGGTACTGAGCAGATTTCAGAGGTGCTCAGCACTGACTGCATGCTTAGCTCTGATCACAGCCTGTGGTTTAGAAATCATCTTGCAGATTGAAAAAAAAAGGACTGAGGCATCAGAAACATCTAAAGGCAAGCATCTCATTTAGTTTAAAGGCAGTGTAGGAATTAAAAACATGTGTCTAGAGGCCTAGAGAGATGGCTCAGCAGTTAAGAACACTGAATGTTCTTGCAGAAGACTCAGGTTCAAATCCCAGCACCCACATGGCAGCTAATGACTGTCCCTAACTCCAGTTCCAGGGGATCCGACACCCTCTTCTGACTTCTGTGGGCATTGTACTACACAAGTGCACTTACATGCAGGCAATATACATGTACACATAAAAAAATGTGTCTATACCTTCTGTACTTGTTTTTTCAAAAGGTGGAGGCAAAATCCTTTCCCCTTGATTGTGGCTAGAATTAATGGTGTGCTTTTTAATGGATGGGATAAAACTCTGGCTTGTCTTCAGAGACTCATATAAATAGTGCACCTTGTACTAGTGAGCAGGTGATGGTGCTGCAGAAAAGACCTTGTGGCATCCTCCTTGCTTGAGCTTGCATTCTTCACCTTAAAGGACACTGGTTGTCACTAAGAATACTCAATAAACTGTGAAAACGTTCCTATATTGAGGGACCAAGCCCTTTTACAAGGTCAGAGAGAAACTGAGGCTTCATGCCAGTGCCAGTGAACCCTCTTGAAAGTGTGTCCTCTTGCCCCAGTTATGCCCCTCCCAAATATCTTGCCCAGAGAAACAGAAATAATGATCACTGCTTTAAGCCACTAAGTTTTGAGGCAATTGGTTGTGTGGCAACTGGTGGTATCTAACATAAACATATAAGAATGTATTGTTTCAGAACTGGGTGGAAGCTAGGTAATTTTAAGCCATATTAGTGATAGCCTACATTTCCTTGAACATACCATAGTACAAGGCTATATACTGATGGTCCTGAAGGAGAGACTATCAAGAGAAACGAGAAAATCTTATTTAAAATGTTATGAAACACTAGAGATATAGGTGCCTTTGTCATGCAGGGAAGAATGCTGAACAACATGACTCTCTCCAGCAATATAGAGAGAAAACTTAGGTTAAGGAGTTGAGCGCTCTAGCCAGATTTCTAGGCAAAGTGCTGAAGTTGCCATCTGGTATCATCTTGCTACTTACAGCTAAATGTAAAGAGAGAGAGGGTGCATGGACAGGCAAGGACTATAAGAAAGATTTGGAGCAGGTCATCGGATCCCTTGAAACTGGGGTTAAGGATAGTTGCTAGCTGCCAAGTGGGTGCTGGAAACCGAACTCAGGTTCTCTGGAAGAGTAGCTAGTGCTCTTAATTGTTGAGCCATCTCTCCAGAGCAGGACCTGAGTTTGAATCCCCAGAATCCATTTAAAAGATGTGCCTGTAATCCCATCGCTAGAGAGGTAGAACCAGGAGGATTCCTGTGGCTTGCTGGCCAGTGAGGCTGGCTAAATCAGTGAGCTTAAGGTTCAGTGAGAGACAGACCCTGTCTCAAGAAAATAAGGCGGTGAGCCAGACACCTGCCTTCAACCTCTATCGCATGCATGTACACAGCTCCCCAACCCTGACACCACATACATAGAACCTAATGCTGAGTTACATAGTCAGCAAAGTTATACATTGAAACTATTCATGTAAAATTTTAGGATGCTAAATAATACTATGTACTGTACACACACACAGAGATACTTGTAGTAAAAGGAGAAAAAAGATACAGAGTTGATAGGCATCAACTTCAAGATCAGCCTTTATCCCTATGGCAGAGTAATGGTTGAGTGGAGCATTATACTCTAATATTTTCATGGCTTTTGTCTTTTTTCTTTAAGATAGGGTCTCAGTATGTAGTATGTGACCCAGGCTGCCTCAATCTTTTGACCTTCCAGCTGAACCTCCAGAGTACCAGCTTCTAATGTTCTCATTTTAGAAAAAAAAAAGTGATATTAACATTGAATTGGGAGATATATGTTCATTCTGTTCTATATTTATGTGTATTTTTTAAAAATCATGATTAATATCGCTAGGCATGGTGGTACATGTCTTTAATCCCAGCATTTAGGAGGCAGAGGCAGAGGCAGAGGCAGGGGATCTTTGTGAGTTCAAGGCCAACCTGTTCTACATAACGAGTTTCAGAACAGCTGGGGCTACGCAGACCCTATTTCAAAAAGACAAAAAAAAAAAATCATGATTATAAAATGGGAGTGGGGG